CCCCCGCCTGGTAACAGCAGCCCCACCGCACTCCCCCTGCACGCGCCGTCGACTTTCTCTCCCTCGCTGTCTTCCCAGGGTCCGTGATCCCCGTGGCGGGCGTCCCTGCCGGCGGTGGGAGCCAGCCCGGATGTCCACGGGAAGGCGGCCCCGGACAGCCACGACCGGGCCCGCGGTGTGTGGGTTGCCCACGTCCGTGTGATGCAGGAGACGCAGACTCAAATGGCAGCGGAGGCCCACCCCTTCTGTCCGCCGGTGCAGGGGAGCTGGCCTGGCAGGTCCGAGAAGCAGGCGGCGGCGGCCGGGAGCCCCGGAGACACCTGCCGGGCCGTCCGGACAGCGAGGTTCCTTGTCTCCACGCTGTGACTGCAGAGCGAGCACGGGGCCACAGACTCCCTCTCTCCCGCCAAGCCGGCCGTGCAGCCTGCTGTCCGGCTACAGGACAGCGACAGCTTGGGACCCCACTGTCCCTCTGCTTACAGATTTCCCGCCAATAAACCCTATTTTATATCTCACCTTGTGGAACTGGCATGTGCGTCCCCATCCCCTCGGCGACAACAGCTGGCCACCAGGAAGCCGCACACTCTGTGTCTCAGCGCCACCTGGTCGGGAGTGATGGAGTTAGGTTGGCACCCCAGAAGAGACCCCCACGTAGGTCACCTGGCCCACGTGTCAGCTGGACCCAGAGCGGGGGGGTGGGGTCCTCTGGAGCAGCGGCTGAGGGGTCTGCTCCAAGCCTGCGGGGAAGAGAGGCCTTGATTCTCTGCCGCAGCCTCTCACCCCGGCCCTGCCTCGTTCCCGTAAACTGAGACAAGCTTAAAATGGAAACGGCTTCCCCAAGGACAGAGCGACTTAGACCCCCAATTTAGACCCTGGCTACCTTCCCAGGCGAGTAGGTGGCCTATCAACTGACCCAGCTACCAGCTCCGTGGGGCCCTGGCCTGCCAGCCTGCCAGCGGTCAAGCGGTCCAGGGGCATAACAGTCCACCTCCCAGGCCGGGGGCAGGTGTCCTCCGCACTTGATGGCCCTCAGCACTGCCCAGGGGCTGTGTTCTGGCTTGGCCGTGAAACATGGGGCCCTGAGACAATGAACTGCCCACGGCCAAGGCCAAAGACAGCCCCGTGGGAACAGACACGACACCCCAAACCCAGATCCACCTTTGGGTCACAGATATGCACGCCCACGGGAGGTGGCCACACCTAGCGGGAGGCACCGGGTCGAATTTGTGCCACCGTCAGTCTCTGCCCAGCCCCGCCGTGGACGGGGAACCTCACACAGGCGCCAGGGGCTCCCCAAGAAGTGCTGAGTCGCGACAGCCACTGCCGCCCGCGAAGCCCGCGGGATCTCCTGGCTCCGCAGCCTCCACCACCGGCCGCGTCTCTGCAGGACGGTGGCTTCCTCAGTCCCCATCCCATGGCCCTCAGCGTGGCTGGGCTCCAGGGTGCAGCGCACGGAGGCGCCGGGAGGGACTTCGCTTCTCTCCGGACACTCACGCCGACGGGGGCCCGTGAGCACCTCCTCTCTGCACCTGCTTGGACTGCACGGGTCGGATGGAAGTTCCGTGTCGCTCGAACTGGGGTCTCCCAGATGGACAGGAATTCTGACACTGCTGTCTCTTTGGGCAGCCCCATAGCTGCTCAGAGCTCCAGAGGCTTCCCCCACATGAGTCCACTCCCTCCGCAGTTCCAGAGCCACAGGGCGTCACCTGCCCTCTCCCGTCACATGGTCCCAGAGCAGAGGGCACAGGGCCAGGCCGGTCCGTGGACGGAGACGGGTCCACAGGGCGGGGCCCCCTCCTGCCCCGCTCCTGCTCATCTCCCCCAGGAGACCCTATTTTATGACGTGCGCACCACACGGAGCGGGGCGACAGTGTGCCTCTGTGCCCCTTTGTGTGCCAGAGAGCAGCAATTGTGAAATTATGTTTCAATGATGACCTTTTTTTTTTAAGTTCGCTAGGAAGAACAAAACTATCAACAAGGAACACAAATTTTTAAAAAGGGGAGCAGTGGCCGGCCATAGGCGCTCCGGCCCCCCGTTCCTGTCCCCCAGGGCTGTAAGGTGAGCGTCACCGAAATACTTCTCATGGGTCCACTCCCCTTGGCCCCAGCCCAGCCTCTGGTACCCATGTCCTTCCTGCAGGACGGTGGCTCCAAGGACTTCCTCGTGCCTAAAAGGCAGGAGATGCTTCTCAGAGCTCACCCTCGGGCACTGACCGCCCCCTCCCGCCCCTCCCCGGGACACCTCCCCTCAGTCCCCAGCCTACCTCCCTGCAGCCGGTCCCAGCCTCCCTGGAGGGTCCCTCTGTCCCCACCCGACCTATAAGCGGGGTGGTTGGTGTTTCTGGGGACCGGACCTCGGCCCTTTTCTGCCCAGCCGCTTTGAGGGTCCACAATTGGTCCCCCTGCAGCACCAGCTGACCCTTTTTCTGGGACCTGTATGCCCCGCTGCCTCCGTGGCCATGGCCCTGGGTAACCCGTGAGCACCAGGCACAGGCAGCAGAGGGGAGCTGTTGTCCCCCTCGTCGGATGGTTCCACCCCATAAGGAGAAACCCAGAGCTGTCCTCGATGTCCCCGTCCCTATGTCCTGCCCACCAGTGGCACCCTGCCCACGCACCCTGCAATTCACCCCCTCAACGTGTATGACTCAGTGGCTCCTAGTATATTCACCAGTCTAATTCCAGAGTATTCGTCCCCCTGAACGGAAACCCCAGATCCCTTAGCATCATTCCCTCTTCTTGTTTCTGTCGCTACGCGCTAAGCCCCATGCGGTTCCTCTCTCTGGCGCTGGGAGGTTCTGAGGCATCCAGGCGACTGGGCCACGCAGGCCGCCATAACAAATACCGAGCAATCGACATTTATTCCTCGAGGTCCTGGAGGCGAGAGGCCGGAGATCAGAGTGTGACCTTGCTGTGTCCTCACACGGGCTGGGGTGGGGGCTGACTAGCTAACCCACCGGCCTCAGAGGGCGCCAGTCCGTCGTGAGGCTACGCTCCCCCTCCTCGCACCATCGCCTGTCATCGGGTTTCAGCATGTGAATTTTGGAGGGACACGTTCACCCCTCAGCCCCAGGTAAGGCACTCATAGAATCCAGACGGCTCTCTAGCTGGTCCTCGCGTTGACGGACAGCCTCGTTCCAAGCCCGCTGAGTCACCGAGAGCCCCGGCCGCTTGCCTGCAGGACCACGGCAGCCTCCAGCGTCGCCTGTTTGCAACCCATCCCCGTGACAGCCAGGGGCTTTTCTAGAATGCAATCCCACCGTGCAACACCTGCCTCAGGTGTTTGCTCCCTGGTGTCCACATCGAGTAGGACTGCCCGGTTCAAGGACCAAAAGCCAGAGGTACCAGTGGTGGCGATGGGGGGGTGGGGGGCGGGGGGTCCTCTGGAGACCAACCAACGACAGGGCAGCCCGTGGCCTTAGGCTGCACCCTCAGCACAGCTCTGCAGAGCCCAGAGCCTCCTGGCTGCCGACCCCACTGTCCCCCTGAGGGCTCTGAGGGCACTAGAAGGGCCCCTCCGCTTTGGAAATAAGGCCCTGGCTTGAGCCTTGGGCTCTAGTGTCTCACCCCCGACGCTTTGGAGAAAGGAGTATTTTAGCACACTAACAAGTGCATGAAAATATTGCAGTAAAAGATGTGACTGAGGGCACCTGGGTGGCTCAGTCGGTTAGGCGGCCGACTTCGGCTCAGGTCATGATCTCACGGTCCGTGAGTTCGAGCCCGCCTTGTCAGCTCTGGGCTGGCGCTCAGCGCTGGAATCTGCTTCAGATTCTGTGTCTCCCTCTCTGTCTGCCCCTCCCCTGCTCACGCTGTCTCTCTCTGAGTCAAAAATAAATAAAAACATTTTAAAAATTGAAAAAAAAAAAGATAAAAGACTAGGCGTGACTGGTTAAGAGAGAGGGTTGGGCCCGTGGGGGACCCGTCAGGGTCCTGCTCAGGTCCATCCACACCGTGGGCAATGAACGACGCCTTTAAAAGGAAATCTCATGTGTCCGTGACCGGCTGGAACCTGGGGGACGTTATGTGAAGTGGAACAAGCCAGTCACAAAAGGTCAAGAACTCGTGTGATCCCCGGATATATGGAATATTGTCAGAAATCATAGAAACCTGGAAACTAGAAAGGTAGCTTCCAGGAGGTGAGGCTGGGAAGGGAGAGCCAGTGCTACAAGGACAGAGGTCCCAGGGCCATTGCACAGTGATGTGAATATACTTAACACTATTGAACTGTTCGCTTTTTAAAACTTTTTTGTAACATTTATTCATTTTTGACAGACAGAGAGAGACAGAGTGTACACAACGGGGAGAGGGAGGAGAAGAGGAGACACAAGGAGACCCGGAAGCAGCTCCAGTCTCCGAGCCGTCAGTCCAGAGCCCTGAGGCTCTAACAGCCAACCTGCGAATCATGACCTGAGCTGAAGTGGACACTCAACCCGAAGGAACACCGAGAAGCCCTGAACTGTTCACTTGGAAAGAGCGAAGAATGTAAACTCAATGTTAGGTGTTATTTCCCACTGAAAAAAGGAAAAAGAATGAGGGGCGCCTGGGTGGGTCAGTCGGTTGAGCGTCCGACTTCGGCTCAGGTGACGATCTCACGGCTCGGTTTGCGAGTTTGAGCCCCGCATCGGGCTCTCTGCTGTCAGCGTGGAGCCATCTTCAGATCCTATGTCCCCCCACCCCGTCCCTCCCCCGCTTGCGCTCTCTCTCCCCAAAATAAAAATAAACATTAACAAAAGAAGAAGAAGAAGGAGCACATGCCAAGAGCCAGAGGGTGCTCGCCGTAAATGCTCCCCACCAAAGACTCCGGCCTGCCAGAGGGGTGTGGAGGGTAAGCGCGGGGGGCCGGACGTCAGGCTGGAGTGTGATTTGACGGCAGTGGCCCAGACTCTGGCGGAGGCCGCACGGATGGGAAAGGGACGAGAGACAATCAAGAGACGCCACGAGTGCACCTGTGCTCTCCCCGCCCCCCGGTTCACGGCTCGGATCCAACCCCCGGCACCACAGAACGTGATCCCATGAGCAAACAGCTCACTGCGGAGGTGATCAGTCAAGGTGCGGTCACACTGGCATGGGCCGGGCACAGACATCTGGACCCAGACCCCCACACGCGGGGAGAGCGCCGGGCAAAGATGGAGGCCGAGGCGGACGTGATGATTCTAGAAGCCGAGGAACACCGAGGATGACAACTGACATCCAGCATCCGGTCGAGAGGCATCGGACAAACGCCCACTCACGGCTCCCAGAAGGAACGGGCTCTGCTGATGGCTGAGTCCCAGGGTCCCAGCCTGCAGACCTCGAGGCAACACATCTCTGCTGTTAAAGCGCCCAGTCTGCGGGCCTTTGTCCGGACGCCCCAGGAACCGGCTGGGGGCAGGAGGGTGTATCGGTGGAGGGGAGGTTGTGCGGGTCCGTATAACCAGCAAACCTCCGATCTCAGCGGCTACATGGCTGATGTTTGTTTACCTCTCCCGCCTCCTGACGCTTCCGGTTAGTGGGCACCTTCCACAGGGTCCCTCAGGAATCCAGCTCCTTCCACCCTGCCCCAGGCCCCTGGCATCTCCCGCGTCTGGTTGCTGAAGGGAGGAGAGACAGCCCCCGCAGGGGCCTGCGCGTGCGCTTTCCAAACCTGGAGATCTTGTTAAATACAGGTTCTGATGAAGGAGGCTGGGGGTGGAGCCTGAGAATCTGCATTTCTAACGAGCTGCTCTGTGGTGCTAATGCTGCTGGCCCCGGGGGGGGGGGG